AAGTCAATTAAATTTTTTTTACGGTAATGAAGTAATAACTGGTTTTTGAGATTTTATATGGTCATAGAAAAAAGGCTTTTGAACAATAAAAATATGTGAGTTTATATGGACTCAAATATTGATGGCATCAAACTTGGTTTCTTTATTCACTCTTCTAATGTACCTATACCCTATTTATAAATTTTATAACAATTTGGGCATCGAATAAAAATCTTGACTCACTGAGTTAACTGGTGACACCCACCGACAGAAGATAATGTTAAGTATATTTATGCGGAATATCCACGCGAGACGAGTCTAATTAACATCATTCGTAGCTCCCGTGCTTCCGACGCGGTTTCCCCTTTACTTCGTATTCGGACTAATTAGTTTTTTACGTTTAATGCGCAAACTCTCTGTAAAAGCCATAAAAGGAAAAAAAAAGCAATAACAACAAGCACCCATGTGAATATTTTATAAAATCCCCCCTCCCACTAAAGAAGCAACCTGAAAGTGGAACACCTACAAAAAAAAGTTTGAAAAAAACACGAAAAAAAGGACAGACAAAAAAAGCACGTAAAAAGCGCCTTAAGTTAGAGTGACGTGAAAAAAAAGACGAGGCGAGAAGAGTCGCGACAACGCGACATAAAAGGCTGGGCACTTTCGAGCGCGAAAAAAATTAAGTCAAAAGTTCAGTGCATTTAAATCCGCGGCGGCTACAGACGTCGTCGTGGCCTCGCGGCGATCGACACGAGAGCTATATAGGAGAACGAAATTGTCGCGGCGAAGACACTGGAACGCCCGACTAATTAGGAGAGCCAGAGTGGCTAAGGAATGTGTGATGTACTGCACGCGCATGGTAATTTTTAATTAGCTGATTAATTAATTATCTTCGTCACTGCAAGACTAGACGAGAGCTAAAGGTCTTCCTTCCCCAACTTCATTTCCCCACTGATGTTACACGTTTTCAACCGCAACTAAAAATGTACGGTGTAAACGAGAGCCAGGTGCAAGATATTGCTTAGAAAAAATTTTATTATATTTATACAATCGTGTTGATTTTATTGTACATTGCTTGATTCCATTTTATTTGTTTTTTTTTCACCTAAATAAATATTGATAAAGATCTCAAGAGTGCATGGTTAATAGCAACATACTTGAATTTTATAAGCTCTATTATTTTTGTTTATTTAAAATGGGGAAAAAATAAGTGCATTAAATATTTTTTAATAATCTGCCTTATGCCTTATTTCATAAATAATTATACCCAAAAAATTATGTGTAAAATCATAATGAAATCAAGTAATCGACGTTTACCAAAGATGAAAACAAAAGGAAAAAATTAGTTCCAGCAGAGCACGCAAAGTATACCACTAGCATAGCCGAATCACCGCCTAATAACCAGACAAAGTATAAATATTAAAATAATCCAAGCGCGTCTTTCAACAGGAGCCCTTTTGAGTGCAAAAGAGAGAAAAATATATTCCCGAGGCGCGCTACTTACTTCTCTCGCTTCGCTTATTAAATCCCAGGGCACAAAGAAAAATAGCCACGCTCCCGGATAAGGAGCCCCCGAGGCGAGTCTTATATAAGTCGTTAGCCAACTATTTTCCTCTTTTCCAATTTTCATTCGTCCGCTTGGCTCTTCCTTGGTATCTCGTTATAAGAAACTTGAAATAAAGTAAAATGAAATATCCTTGATAGCTTTGTAACTTTGTTTTTCTCGGCTCGCCAATTTATCAAACGTATTTTTTCTTCAGGATGATTTATATCACATTTTACGCCCTCCAAATCGTGCCGAAAAAAATAATTCTTTAATATTAAAAATATATAAGTATCATATCACACGTCTAGTTACATAAGACCGATGTACCAGAGAAAAGAATCCTTAAAATCATTGAATATCCATATCCCCGTTTGAAAAGAAAAACTTGAAAATCTACATCAGGAATGCTNTTACTCATAAAATTATCAGTGAAACAAAAACTCTCTTTTGACACCGCTTTGCTTTGCCATTTTCACAAGTGCAAAACAACTCTTTGACACTCGCATGGCTATTTACGTTGTTACATCTTTCATTTGAAGAACCACGCACGGTTATCTTTTAATCGCAAATGTGCAAAGAACTGCATGATAAACTTACCAGATTCACTTTGAAAGAGAGCGTTTGTGAGAAATTACCGCCTTTGATGACGAAAAAGTGCTAGGACCTCTACTGTGACTTTCGTTAAATTTTCAAAGCGAGTAAATATTCAAATAAAATAATTAATCTCAAAGGTAAAAAAGCATCTGTGACTTTCGTTAAATTTTCCAAGTGAGTAAATATATTAAAATAGAATAATTAATGTCAAGGAAAAAAAAAGAAGTGGAGATTAATTATTCCATAAGTCCCGGGGGCCACGTACCATTTGTACATAATGTATATAAAATTACGTGTACAGCTAAACCGAGTTAACCTAGTGAAGAAAATTCCGACGCTCGCGTCTACGTATTTGGTAATGCCGGCTAAAATTTCATCCTAATTGCGCCGAAAACGCCGTCTATTGTCCGGAATAATTGCTTTGGAACATGTAGCACAAAAAGCCCACGGCGACTCGTGTCGATGCTATATTCATGTGGTATAAGCCGAATACAACAGAGTACAGAAAATCGCCTCCTCGTTTCCTCTTCCCTTGTGTACCTACAATGAACTCGCCTCTTCCCGCTTCTCGTTCAGGTAAGCTGCTCTTTTTTTCTTTTTTCTCGAAGAAAAAAAAAAAAAAAAAATACATACGCAAGGCCTAGAAAAGCGAGTTGGTATTGAATTAACGCACTATGTAAATGGATATGGCGAGGAACGATAATAACGAGCGATTGAAATTGAGAAATGACATGGAAATATGGAGAAAACGTGGTTTGCTTGGAAGCAGGTAGGTATTTTCCATACGATGGGTGTACCTGTACGTACAAAAGTAGCATTAGCAGCCACAATGGGAGGAGTATCCTGTTACCGATTAGCGTTTCGCTTTTCCTTTGCTCGATCGCGCTCATGTATTGTGGACCAATTTAGTTTTTTGACGAGTAATTCGAGATAGAAATGCACTTGAGAAACACGTGGTTTTTTCTAACGAGGAATGTAGTGCTTAAAAAATAGTGAAATGAGTCGAAAGCTTTACTATTTAAAAGATCTATTTGTGTAAGAAATAATTGTTTCCTAGATTTGTTAAATATATATATACGTTTAATGCGCAAACTCTCTGTA